ATAAGAGCCTCTTTTTTATTATGATACCTAGCGGGAGCCTAGGGGTAAACGTGGGGAGCTTTCCATTCAACAAAAATTCTGTTTTGAAATTTCAGAAATTCCACCTGTTCAATCATAGTTAATTGAGTGGAATGGTTATGAAACCCGTCAGACTCCTTTATTATATGTTTTTGTGGACCTGAAAGTGCACAATGTTCAAAAGAATTCCTATCATTTTGATTGTATTGACCAATAAAAACGTTGCATTAATTTATTCCGTAACAATTTGCCAACAGAAAACAAAAGATTGTGCACTTTCAGGGTGCTTCCAACATAAACTGCAGCACTGTTGTTTTTATCTTTGATGTTTGCCGCTTTTCATAACCAGTCTCCTCTAATAACTATGGTTCAATTGAACGGTACATTCCGGTTGCTCAGACCCGACCCAAGCGACCACACGTTTGGTTATCGTTCTTGTAAGCAGGATACGAAAAAGCGGTACTAGAGACAACAATTTTGTCGAATGGAAGAGACATTTCGGTCCGACCGACCGAGATAACCCGACCGGTCAAAGTGAACCACCTTCAAAGCTGCTCCCAAATATTCAGGTCGGATCAAACCTAAATGGTCCGTTCTATTTGATGTACCAACTGAAATTTCCGGCATTTTGGGTTGAATGGGAAGCGTGCTTACCCTAGGGGCTATTCAAACAAGTCTCAGAATTCCGAATAATCTTGATGTTCACGTTTTAACCAGAACACATCTCGTTTTGCAAGAGGTATGTCCAATCTATTTATTTCGATTTCCCTGCATGGGTATTAGAATTGACCTCAGCTTGCTTATGACTTCCTAAGCAGAAGTTGCCCCCTTGCTGGGGCAAATGCTTAGACATCCGGTTAGGTTACCTTTGAACTTATTATTCTTAAAATCTGCCCGCTGTTTGAAGAATCAATTGCAGAAATTTGTTTGTCCTGTGATCTGCTCAACTTGTCATCTTTACATGTTGTCGGATAAGCTGAAAGAAAAATGCTGTTCATATTTATCATTGTCTTGCTTATTGCTGAACTTGCAAGCTCCTCACAAAACGTCGAAAAAGGTAAGAGAAACTTTAACCATGCGTAACAACTTTAAGTGCTTCGGGCTCAGTCCTTTTTTAACAAATACATTGGGCTTTCTTAGCAAACAATATCAGAGCACTAAACTGAAACCATACTTGCATACGTAGTAGAATAAAGAGCCAGTTAAACGTAGAATAAGCAATGATGACCTCCACGGCAACGTGAAGGACAAACAAGCACTAGATTTAGATAAGCATTTAATAACTTTGCACGTGCAGCTCACTGTTTTTTTGGTACCTTTCTTGCCATTGCAACGCGACTACAACGTGAAACTACCAAACTTTATGTTATATGGAGGGCAACTTATATCGATATAGTCCTTTAGAATGAATTCCTGAAAAACTTCGCAACATTTGACAAATTGAATTTAATCAATGGAATAAGAGTGATGTCGTTTGACAGTCACTAGCTTTGTAAGTGATGTTTTCCGCGCTGTTGTTGCCGATATGGTTACTTAAGTTCCCTATCAAGATCCGAGAACTCAGAACGGCAATGCTATGCAAGATTGATTTGAAATTAGCGAGGAACAGTTCTTCTCTCTCATATGGTCATCCCACCTACCATGAAAACGTGATAAAATGAGAGATTATAGAGAGAGGCTAGTTACCCCACCTGTATGCGGTCCCCCACCTCCATGTCAACAGGCCCTTAGGATGAAATGAAATTTGAATTAGAAGAGATCAAACTCACAGAAATGTGGCACACGCACAGGAAGAACAATATGCTGTTATACTAGGTCTTTTTCCCAAAGCTCTCCTTGGGGAAATAGCTTGGTTTGGGTTCGCTAGTGGTTTTGATTACTTTCACGTTCATTGATTACTTTGACACGGCGATAAATTGTCCAAGGGGAAGAAAAAACTGGCCCGGTTTCGCGGTAAACGTCGACGTTGCAAACATTGAAGGCTGACATCAGGATCGTAAACCGTTTCGTTCACTTAAACCTCCACATCACTTAAGCTAAGCAAAAGCTGATTCAACCCTTAATTTTTCCGAGACTAAAAACGACGAACATCGACTTTATTCGCGCTTAGAAGAAAAGTCAAATGTGCGGGTTTACAAAAATAGTTGCAACGACTTGATAAGGAAAGAACTATTGAAAACACTCTAGTGTATCAAAGTGCTTTTGAATTAATAAAACCTGAAAACCTGAAAACATACACAGCAGCGCCGGAAATACTGCTGTGTTTTCGAACTTTGCGTCCAGTTTTGCGTGGTTGGCGCCAAGTGAACAAAACGTGATTTCTACGCGGCTGGTTTTCACGAGCGACGGATTGGGAGTAGGAGTCGTAAGCGGGGTGGTAAGAGCGTTTATGACCTTGTGAAAACGAAAAATCAGAGTCGTAAGCAGAGTCATAAGCGCAACGGAGTCGGAGTCAGAAGAATCAGAACGTTTCCATTTTCTTCCTACTCCTCTTACGACTCCGTCGAAATCTCACGATCTAGTGAAAACCAGATTGTCGGAGTCGAAAGAAGAAGTGGAAGGGTAAACAAATCACATGTACGTTCTCACGCTTTGTGATTGGTTTAGTTCTTTAAATCTTCCACTTCAGCTTGCGACTCCCACAATAAAGTTTTCACTTGAAGGTAAGCGACGGAGTCGTAAGCGGAATCAGAACGCTGTTTTCAAAGACTAGAACTTTAAGTCTTACGCTTCTGATTACCACTTCGACTCCAACTCCGTCGCTAGTGAAAACCAACCTTTATTTTAAAACCCGTAAAACTTACCACGGCGTAATTCTTTTGTTCTTTTTTTCCTTATCCATGAAAATTGCCCAGAGCCAATTTTCGCCCCGGGGAAATCGGTCACACACAGAAAGATGCTTCTCCGTGGGCAACAGCCATTTGCCCATGGGTAAAACGGCTAGTAACCGCCCGTAATGTGTGCTCGATCGGGCGTCTAAAAGAATAAGACAAATATGAGCGCTGCCCTGTAAGAGGTGCTCGGCATATTTTATTTTTAGACTGACGGGTAAAATTTGTACATTGGTACCACGGTTATGACTTAATAAGAACGCTGTTGGCCGGAGTTGTTGTGGTACAGTGCTCCGTTGATTTGCTGTTTTGTCAGTTGCTAGCTCTCAGGATGAAAATATACTAGAGCCACACTCATGAGACGGCATTCTTGGAACTTTACTTTGGCGGTGTTTTTGAAATTCCCACATGAACTTATTTATTCACTTTATTTCATTTTATTTTTGTTTTATTATTTATTCTTCTTTATTTGGTATTGCATTCCCCCGGGGGGTATACTCCGCTAATGTTAATTACGGGGAGGTTACGCGACGAGCTCCAACCCTTACCCTTTTATGTACCATTTTTGAGAGAAAAGGTATCCCTTTCGTATACGTTCTATTGATAAAAGGTACCCCTTTCACATACCAATCATACCCCGCCCTGCATCGCTTTTAACTGTAAATGTACTGTCGTTTAAATATAATTATTATTCATTCAAAATATTTCCCCAATTCTGATTGGCTAAAAGCACACGCATAATTCACCATAACCAGTTACTGATGACCAAATTTGAAAGAATTTTGTGTTTGACGAGGAAATGACGTCAAAAATGCAGCCTTCTACTGGTTAATGCACCGTTAACCGAGAAGACCTGGGGACGAGATTGAGTTGTTTTCGTTGCAAAAACTAAAATGGCGGACACTTCACTCGTTTCAAGAGTAAGAACTACAGCTGGAACGGCCTCGACGGATAACACCCTCCTCGATCTCTATAATTCTTCATAACATACTCAGCCTCATTCATTAATTGTTAAATAAATCACTAAACCAGAAAGTTTTCTTGTCTTTGTTTTCACAGCTATAAAATGCCCCTGCTAGCCCTTTTAGATCCTTTCACAGACCGCAATGAGAGATTTCCCTACCGTATCATATACATCAACTAGTGAAATCCCTATAGGACTGAAAAGGTCACGTACCCCTTTCGGATGGAGCCTTCCCGTACTATAATGGCCTAGTATATACTAGGCTATTATAAGGAGAACTGCCCGCGAGTGTGTCAGCGTTGCCGGGTCGTTTTATATGGATATTATTTTATAACACAACCCATGAGCTACTATTATGAGTAAACATATTGTCTTTGGGTCCTGAAGTCTCTAGATGAGACCAAATTCTGCGATTTCCAACCCCTAAGCGAGACGACGGGCATCCTTGTCTCTTTTACGGGTCACTAGGGGCCCGTTTCTCGAAGGCCTGCATGGTAACTTTTTGGGCCCAAAGGCAAATTTTTAAATCAGATCCTGTTGAATAGAAGCACAGTTCCTTGCTCACAAACTGGTCAATATTTCTTCGCTAACTCTAAGTTTTATGGTATCATTTTTCAAAACTATTGAGACTTTGATCTTAAATGCAAAGCCATGCAACAAGAATAAAACAGCTTTTCGGGCCCGAAAAGTTACCGGGACGTTCGAGAAACAAGCCTCTGAGCGATACTTACTCACTACAGGTCCGGTCTGCACAAATAAGGATAAAACTTTAAAAAGGGAAGCTTTTTCTCCGTCTTAGCCATCCTATCCTCACGTGACTGGCGATTCCAGGTACAGAAAAAGCTGGTTTTCGAAAACGGTTTCCGAAAGTGGAGTTTTTTTTTTAAAGGCCGACCAGGAGTCAATCGGCTCCTGCACCGGGTTACCTTTTTTGTGTGGACGGAGGAAAAGGGGGGTTTTGGAATGTCATACATCATACTCGTTGCAGCGCATGCCCTGTGAGAAATGCTATCGTATATCCATTATTTGTTTTTTAAAAATTTCCGTGTGGACAGGCGAATTCAAAACGATTTCAAAGCGCTTCTTGTGGATGCGTATTTTTTTCGTCAAAAACGGAGGAACAGAATCACCTTTTTGAAAAAATATCCTGATACATGTGGACAGGATCTCAAACACGAGTTGTTTGATTCTATTCCACAGGCGTAGTTAAGGAGAATACCGCTGTCCCACTGACATTACCTATAATGATTTGCACCTATCCCGGCGTGCCATACAAGATAGCTAGACTGATACACAACTGGGCTCCCCTGATAAAGCTTGATCAGAATGAGGTGTGGCGTCCATCAGGAGTAGAGCACTTCTTGTCTAACACCAAGTTGGAAGGGTGCAGCGACCAGCCAGACCCCTCTTCGCTGACAAGTTCCAACCTCGAAAGGTGCAACACAAACAGTTATCTCACCACCAAGGAAAGCCTCAGCTGTCCTTCGTGTACTGAGCCTGTTTTTCTTCGTGGTCAACACCCAAGGAACGTGCCATTAAACGTCATCTATCGACAGCATGAAAACTTCTTGGAGGTCGCCTACTGGACGTTCTTTCCGTACAACCACGGAAAGAGGGTCTGCCTTGGATATTTTCAAAAAGGGTGCTTTCTTTTGGGGAAAATTTGGGGCCGCTGTCCTTGTGGAGAGAACCTAGGTTGCATTGAGGAATACTCAGCCTTTGGGCACCATGTTGGGGATTGGGAGAGAATTACGGTTCGTTTTCGAAAAGTCAATAACGACTTTCAGATCTATTCCATTCACTTATCGACCCATGGTATCGACGTTACTGACAAGTTCGGTGGAGAATTTCTCTGGCGAGATGGTCACTTTAAGAGGCGAGATCAAACGATAGCTATGTATAATGGTACTCATGCAGTAATCTACTCGTCCGAGGGCTCGCACGGAATGTGGCCGTCAGCTGGAAGACATGAGTACAAAGTCCTTCCAAACGGAGACACTCTAGTGGACTACACCAGTAGTGGTGTAAGTTGGTACACCTGGGAAAGATTAAAACCCGTCCAGTACGATCCCAGCGGTCAATACAGCGGAGAGTTTAAGTTCCTGGAGTTTAAAGGCCGGTGGGGAAACAGAAAACGGGGCTGTGGTATCGTAGGGATTGTCATTGGTGAATGTCAGCTTAATAATGGACCAAAGGGGCCTTCTAATTCATTCCCTAACTACCAAATTGAGAATACGTTGTCAGCTGAGTTGTAGGGTATCGCGTTCAATTGTCGCGTCTGTTTAAAAGGGGAACAAAATTTTCGTTCTCTTTGAACACTTATGACTATAAAATCCTTTTTGTGACTATAGAGCCAACTAAATTTGGGGCCTTGAAATCCAGTTATTACATGTACAATATTGTAACGAGATAAATCTGTAATAAAATACAACCTTGGGTGTGAGTTGAGGCAGATTCTTTAGATCGGAAAAATTTGAACATTTAGTGAAATCTAGACTGCAATTTTGTTACCTCAGATGTTCTATCTAAAAGTATAGTAAATCATCTTCATTGTAATAAGTGCTGTATTGTTTTCTCCTTTCTACAATGAAAGGATATTTCAGTCTTTTCGAAGAGCTCGTTCTCAAACGATTCAATCAGTATTACTATAACCTGAGAAAAATCGAGGTTTCATAGGGATGCTTTTTGATATATTTTTCTTGTGGCGGTATTATGGGAACACTTCAGTTTTTAGTGTGACAGCTGATTGACGCTTATTAAATGAAAGGTTTCCAAGACAAATTTATACGTTGAATTATTGACTGTTCCTGTAACATGTTAAATAAATAAGGATAATTATAGAAAAACATCTTAAATAACATGAATTTCGGTAAATTTTTATCAGTTTTGTTCGCTCTCGTCCAAGACGATTGCTATTCAAGATTGCGTCAAGGGGATGTAGGGAAGAGAGGGGCGGAGGGGGGAGGGGGGTGGAGGGGGCGAATACTTGAGCCGGCACTACGTGATGATGAAAAGGCTGGAAAACCTTCTTCTTGACACAATTTGTTACAGTTCTTTTGACAAAGTCTTAAGTGTGCGAGAAAGCTCCCCAACTCTAGCCCAACAAAGGTCATATCCTTAGAGAAATGGCTAGAATGATTTCTTCCTTATCCATTACATTACTTTTCATCAAGCATGTCAAAGTAATTTCTCGTTCTACGATTGGCCAATTTTAATCTTCTGTCTACACTGGCTCATTAAATAGGAAGATCTTTTTTATTTTTCGTTTATTTCCATCGCTATAGCTACAATTATGCGTCAATCTTATATAGATAAATATTTCTCTACGTACAGCCTTGAAAGCTGGTCCTGGCTTGCTGCCATACTGTTTAAACATTGGAGGAAACTCTGCGATTCACACCCCTTACTAAGAAGGCGAGGCTCCCCGTTCCTTGGCATTCCTTTAATCTAAGGGAGCTCCCCGGGGTTTCTACCTTTCCCGGGGGGGGGGGGGGCCCCCGAATGTGAAGGGGGGGGGGTTGCTCGTGGTCCCCTTTGGGGGGTAAATTTTGGGTTTTGGGCCTCATTTGGGGTTTTTGGGGTAAAACCCCCGGGTTTTTACCCGGAAGGGTCGGTTTTGGGGTTGCCGGAGAAAAAATAAAAAAATATAAGACGGTTTTCCGACGAGCATCCCCACCCCTTTCATATGCATGCGGAGTCCCCCTCCCGGGCTACCTTTCCCCCACTCCGAGCGTATAAGCCAGCTTTTCGACTAGTTGTAGGCCTAGCTCCGGCTGTTCAATGAGGGAACACAAATGGCTTTTACTGGAAATACAATCCCACGCAGAGATGTTTTCTTCGCGGGCAGCTCATCCGACTTAATCCCATTTAATATGTCGCGTTCCTCGAAAGTGCGCAAATATTCGTGTATTAGATTTCAGCATACATTTTGTCTATCTTCATTTCGCACCAGAATAAATTAGTTTGCGCGCGCAAAGGGCTTCTAAAAAAATCACAAGGTTTGTCCCACTTCGAGTCCACCTTCAATTTGGAAGATACGCCGGCTTGGTAGCTGGAATACATCGACGAGGCGAAGATCTGGCCTTTTTTCCTCCTCGTCGTTTATTCTCCACGACATTTGTTTATATTATATTTGTAGCGAGAAGGCAGTGCATTTTACTTCATGCGGCTTGACGTGCGGCTTGCTACTTATGGAAGAGAAGTGCCGGATTTCATCCCCTTGTTCGCCAGCTAGGTAAGAGAACCGACCACTGTAAGGTAGGAATTGAGGTTTTAAAGTTGTTTCTTGGCGAAAAATAGTGCATAGAACTCGTGAAACCCGTGAATATTACCTCTGCTATACCAGTAATGTCATGCAATGACTCCGCGCTTTTTCGATGGGTATTAAACACGGATAGAAACAATAGTTTCTTTCGCAAAGTTTAGTATAATTTAGTTATCGAGACCATTTGCGGGCGATTTTTCGCCATATGCTTCACTACTTGAACTATTCCGGCTACGTGCGAGGAGTTAGATAACAATGTTTGTGTGCTATAATTATGCTGATAATTCCTTGCACCTTTGTATTGAAACTTACTGAAAGCCAAACGTGTTTAACCCTAGCAAAAAACTCTTCTATTATGGAGAAATTTTTGACATTTTTCGGGCCACAATATGGTGTAAACTTTTTAAAGAAAACAAAGCTTGTTTTTTGGCGAAACGGACTGTAGTTTTTTTTCTTTGAAGAGAGCGCGAGCCAAACGCGAGCTTTAAGCTCCGTGAGTACAGTGTAACCCAGTGATTCTTGAGGTGGCGCACACATGAGTGCAGTGTAACCCAGTGATTCTTTAGGTAGAGCTAACAAACATAGGCTGCACTTAAGGTGGCACACCCATGAGTGCAGTGTAACCCAGCTAGTGATTCTTTACTCCTCTTTATTCTTTATTCCTCCTTGCCCTCTATACAAGGAGGCCGTGTGAAAATATTACATATCTCTAAACTAAGGGTTTTTTTTTAATTTTAAAAACATAAAGGGATGTACATATTGCCGCATCTCCACAGCCAAGCTGTTCCACAACACATTTCCGCTATGAGAAAGGCTTCTTTTCCAATATAAATTCGGTGCCGGGTTTTGGAACAGCGAGCTTATATTTATTCAGGGGCACCCAACGACTGTTTTCTCAGAAATATGTGTTCGGATAAGAAAAAATTGCCTAGAATTTTCCATAGCTTGAGCAAGGCTAAACATTTCTAGATGGTCGTTCCATTCATGCACACTTTTCGAAGCTTATCTAATAGACCTTTGTCACGCGGCAGCCATTTTGTCTCAGGAGATTTAAAAAGCTTTGTTTAAGCACGGCTAGCCTCGTTCTCTCTACGACCAAGACCCAGGTTCTCTTGTGAA